TCATAGGAGTAACAACATGAATTTGTGCATGAGGTAGAAATAATGCGGTGTGACTCGAGTTTCACCATCAGCTGGAAGACAGTGTCCCTTTTTGGTCAGTGTCAGTGGAGGAAAGGGAGAGCGGAGGGATGTTGAGAGGCGGACCCTCAGATGCAGGCACCATCAGCCCAGTAAAAGAAAAAACAAATTATTTAAATGTAATACAACAACGGATCTATTACCGGTGTGATCATATAGCTGACCTCAAATAATAATAAAAAATAATAAGTCCTGTGTAGCTCAGTTGGTAGAGCATGGCGTTTGCAACTCCAGGGTTGTGGGTTCGATTCCCACAGGGGGACAGTATGAAAATGTATGCATTCACTAACTAAGTCGCTCTGGATAAGAGCATCTGCTAAATTACTAAAATGTTATTATTATTATTATTATTAACATTTTATTTTTATAATGGCCTGAACAACAAAACATTAGCAGGGCAATTCAAGTTCTCAGCTTGGTTGGTGACCAATGTTCCCTCTAATTTTGTTGGGCAGTGAGCATATTTCAGGTCTGCTGAGCGCAAACTTCAACTTTGTGAAAATTCTGTGCAACTTCCAGTGCACGTTTACTGTGAACACTGAGGCTGTACCCGCTTTAAGTTAGTTTTAACAGTGGCAAAGTAGGCTACTGTGGCTGTTTTGATCATAATGTAGCCTACCAGAGTGGCTACATGACAAAAAGACTCCACTATGCAAGTAACCAGTTCACTGTACCGTTTACACCTTCTGTGCATGTGACAAATAAACTTAGATTTTATTTGATATAGTGTGTGTTTACCATCTCTGGTAATGTGAAGAACAACATGACCAGCACCGAAGTCAAATTAGGATATAATGTTAGGCCAACGAGGCAGTGTCCAAGTTGTAGAATTCCCTGCTTTTATTTTGTCCCACTCACAACCGTAAGCTATTTTCTGTAATTAGCTCGTCATTAACTTGTAAATAATGATCTTGTTGTGAGTTTATTTTCCTGTAATAATGAATACAAATTAGCTTAAGTTAAGACGTTGTCAGCTATATGATATGGTCATTATTTGAACTGGCTAGCCAGTTCTAACTAACAAGCTAGAAACTAACCAAAACATTGTTTAGAAAGTTGCTTTTAGTTGCCTGGTTTGCTAGATTGACATACACTACCAGTCAAAAGTTTGGACACACCTACACATTCAAGGGTTTTTCTTAATTTTTACAATTTGTATTTACTGTGTAGAATAATCGTGAAGACATCAAAACTATGAAATAACACACATGGAATCATGTATAATAATAATATTATTATATCCAAAGCGACTTAGTCATGTGTGCATACATTTTTACGTATGGGTGGTCCCGGGGATTGAACCCACTACCCTGGCGTTACAAGCGCCATGCTCTACCAATTGAGCTACAGAGGACCAAAAAAAGTGTTAAACAAATCAAAATATATTTCAATAGCCACCCTTGATAACAGCTTTGACTTGTATGGCAAGCCCTGACACACACACACACACGGGCATTCCTGTGCTGTTGTTGCCTCTTCAGAAAGTTGCTTTATTTTTGGGCAATTGCACATTACTGTTTGAATAAATCATGATAAAAAAAAATATATATAATGTGACCAGGTACATTTGTTTTCACTGGCACCCTTGCGACCAATTAAAAATGTATGTCTCACTGCCAAGTCAAACGGTCGCAAATGCGACTGTTTTGATCACAGTATCGAATCCTGCCCTCACCCCCCATACACAACACATACACATTTTCAGTCGGGACTGTTCTGGGTCAGTGTGTTGTTGTAGGCTATAGTAGGGAAAAGACGCCTGCCATAAAAAATAAAATTGTAGGCATATCCTTTCTGGAGTAGTCTAGATTTTGATCAAAAGTTACATCTTCATGACTGGAATGGAGAGCATACAAGTCCTATTTGAATTGCAATTCTCAACCGGGTTTGTCTTAACCCAGTGGTGGCATTTGTGCTTTAATGGCCACTTCCCTGGCTTTGGCTGGCAGCACTGGCACTGGGCAGTGAGTGGGAAGGCTGGGTGAGTGGGTTTAGGAAATGAAAGGAGGGTTTGATCAGCCTCTCCAGTCCTCTCTGTCCATTCATTGTGTTTGTGGGACTGAACCTATTGATTGTGCGAGTCTCCCCTAAAGAACGATTATGTGAGGGAAGATTGTATTCGACGGGGACATCTCCGGGTAGGTGGAGCATAGACCTCCAAACACCAAGACTGGAGGAGGGTGACTAACTGTAGATAACATTACTGAAGATTACATTATTGAGGATGAATCAGAAATGCTGCTATTGTCACATTTTGGACTAGTGCTGAAGACCTTAAGCTAGAGCTCGGCAATATCTCGATTTATTTTAATTTTATGTTTTCTCTAAATAATCTTTGTTGTACCATTTTTTAAAGATCAAAATCATTAAATTTCAAACAGTCAGCAATGTGGCGCAGCGGTCTAAGGCACTGCATCTCAGTGCTTGAGGCGTCACTACAGACCCCCTGGTTCGATTCCAGGCTGTATCACAACCGGCCGTGATTGAGAGTCCCATAGGGCGGCGCACAATTGGCCCAGCGTCGTCCGGGTTTGGCCGGTGTAGGCCGTCATTGTAAATAAGAACAAATTCTTAACTGACTTGCCTAGTTAAATAAAGGTTTAAAAAAAAAATCTGGGTTGTGAAATTATACCTAGGCTAATTATAATCCTTCCACAATCATAATACCAACTAATCATTTAATAATAGGTTGACCTGCTTTTTTTTTGTTGCAGTAATCACTGATCTGGCTTTCAAATCTGGCTTTTGAAAATTCAATTTTTTGTTCCGAATTTAACCAGAGCCATGATTAGCACAAGCCCATGTGCTAGTGAGTAGCCAGCTAATCTTTTATATTTCAAGTTTAGCCAACTTGGATCTATTTGCTAGCTAACAAGGCAGGACAGTTGAATTGTTATAGGGAAACCAAAAAAAAAATTATACTTCATATTCATCTCCAGCACCACCCCAACATCAACATATGTGACAATGGTGAGTTTCTATGTTTGGTTGATGACGTCATTGGAAACACATAGAAAGATAGGTGTTTCCAATGTCATCAACAAATTAGTAGGCAATGCCTACTCACAATTGGTCAAAATCACACAATGTCATTGGAAACACTTACCTTCCCCTCTTCTTTTACTACAAAACATAGAAATGCACAATGTTGATGTTGGGGTGGTGCTGGAGATGATGAATATGAAGTTAATTTTTTAATTTTTTATGTCCCGTTATGAACACAGCCTTCTGTGTCTCCAACTTGTTCAACAGCATGTTAGCCTGTCCTTTTTTAATGTTGAAATCAAGTGGCCTACCTCATTTCTCAAAATGAGAATGAGTTGCCAATTCCTTATATAATTGTTTTATGCTTATTGCACATTTATAAAACAGTAGACGGCTAATATATCTTCGGCTAAAATTCTGCTAGCGGTACTTGGTACCGCAATGCCGCGTGCGACAAACTGAACATTCATTTCCCAGAATCAATGTTCATTGATACTCTCGTTTTAGTAGTGTCTGTTCTGCGTGCAATTTGAGTAGTTGAGACAAAAAAAGGGTATTGTTAGAAAGGTTAACTTCGCTATTACAGTGAAATGTCTCAATGTGTTTCGGTGGACCAAACCTCAAATGCATATAGCAAGTTGAAACCGCTTGTGATGCTCCGAGCCTCTCTTCTAATCCCTTCTACTAAGTATCAAGAGGCTAAATATGCTATCTCTGGCCCGGGTCAAAAGGCAAAGGGATTACAATAAGCTAGAGCACACATTTAGAGGCTGTCCCAGCTAATGCAATGCTGAAGAGGGCTCCAGGTGACATTACACACTTCACTTCATGTCCTTAATGATGGATATGACTGGCATTTATGTCCAGTCTTCCAATCCGACCCCAAACGGCTTTACTGGAGTGGTAGAGATGTTATGGCCCAGTGTCATCAAGCTAGAGACATGGCATTGACTGTTACCAATGACAATAACCGCTGTGAATGGGTGGCCATTGAAGGCTAACAGAAGAGTGGAATTGATCCTGCTTTATTGTGGACTGATCGCAGCGGTCGTGACCTGTTTCATATATTCATCGCACTCGTGTGCAGTCAGTCAGCGATGGCAGAGCTACACAGTATTCCCCTGTGCGTGGGTTGTGTCTAGCAGACCAGCTCAGCCCTGTTCTGACTGAGACCATGTGTTTCCCAGGCTGCCTGGCTGTGTGGGGACAGGTGGCCTGGGCAGGGAGGTGGTAGTCTTTGCAGTAACAAGGGCTTTGGGGATTACAGTGTAGTGGTTGGTTGTTTAGCCCAATCACTAAAAAAAGGAAAGGAGGTTGGCGGATTTATTCAATTAATATAATTGATTCTGAAATACTGTAATCAGTCAACGTGTCAACCTGAACTGTCCGTCTTATTTGCATGACCCTTGGTTGGTTGTGTGTGTGGGGGGGGGGTTGGATGACAGAACAGAAGGCATGTGTGTTGAATGGAAGGAGAGCATGGGGTTTCCCAGCTGTAGGGGCCAGCTGGTGGATGTAGAGTATTGGTCTGTTCTGGAAGGGGTATCTCCATTCACCAGGCAGACACCGGCCCATAGTAACAGCAGACTGAGACTGGGCATCACAAGGGTGCACCAAGATAGAATTGTGAACCACACATTTTAAAGTGCTTTATGTAATAATCCAAGGTGACGCTTAGATAACTATTAAAATTAATATGATCTCTGGTGGATTAATGAAAGTGGATACAAATGGCCCTGCTCAAAACCCCCAGGAACACATGTATTATTATTCATGTATTCACTTACAGACAAGCATATTCTGTAACATATATTCTTTTTCAGAGACCTTTTCTCTCTTGGAAGCATATCTTTATCTACCCTTTGGGGAATTAATTCACTTTGCCTGAAATGTTAGAAACTCGCTCTCACATTCTTTCTCCCCCTTTCTCTGATAGGTACAATGGCTCCCTCCCCAACGGAGACCGGGGCAGAAGGAAAAGCCGCTTTGCCCTATACAAGAGAACCAAAGCCAACGGCGTTAAACCCAGCACCGTCCATATTCTCAACACGCCACAGGCCAGCAAGGTAAACCAGGAACCTAGCCTACCCACATATTCATGAACAAACTAAGTAATTGGTGGATGAAGACTGAGTTCTCATGAATATGTTATTACCCCTCTTAGCAAATTGATTGTCATTCGTGCAAACAGAATGAGCACCAACACTGAATTTGACTCTTTGACTTTTTAACACACATGTTTTTCATGTATCTAACTTGAAATCCCAGTCAAGAAAATATTGTTGCTCTATTGATGGATCTGACATTTACTACACAAAATCTGCAGGCTGCAGCCAGACCTCCTAGCTTTGCTATGTGCGGTGTCTGCCAGAAAACTGCCCAGTCCAGTACAACATGTCTGTCCTCTTGCATTCCTACATTTGGTATCCTAGCAAAGTCAGCTAAACAAGCTTGACGGCCTGCTGCTGACGTCTGCAGTTTTTAGAAGCACACGTTTTCAAAGCACTTCTCCTTTTTGTATTTGGGCCTTCTGGCTTAAGGCCCTTTAGTCTGTGTTAGTCTCCCACCCTGTAGTCTGACAGTCTGCTAGCTCTTCTCACTGGGAGAAGAGGGTTAGGAGATAGCTGATAAAGGCTGTGTCATCTCTGACTGCCTGTTCAGTGAACTGTACTGCGCTCTGCTCTGTCTGCTGTTTCACGACACACCACATTAGTATGAATTAGGTTTATGTAAGAGGTCATGTACAGCCTGTTATATAGTGATGGAGCTTTATTAACCCCCAACACCTTCACCTCCCCTTCCCTCTGCCACCCTGGTATCAGGGCCTGGATTAAACTTGGTTTAGTGCGGTGAAGTGAGGAGGAAGTTGTTGCAGTTGGCTGACTTTCCGCTCACAGCTGTACACACATAGATGAAAATAGCTGTTCCTTCTGAGGCAGGCAAGAAAGGGAACCTCATTTTGAGATTCTGCCTTTTGTAGCCTACCAATGTTGTCAGTGATTTAATTCACCATAGTCCTACATGCGGTAAAGAGATCAATGAAACGCAGACTGTGGGTGGAAGAAAAAGGGCGCTGTCATTGGCGCACAGAAAGAAAATCTGATATTCGTCATCCGTCATGAGTTTTGAGTTCAAACAGGCCCTCTGTGGTTATTAAAATCCGATTTGGATATAAACTATGTATACAAAAGTATGTGGACACCCTTCAAATGAGTGGAATCGGCTCTTTCAGCTACACCCGTTGCTGACAGGTGTATAAAATCGAGCACACAGCCATGCAATCTCCATAGTCAAACATTGGCAGTAGAATGGCCTTACTGAAGAGCTCAGTGACTTTCAACCGTCATAGGATGCCACCTTTCCAACAAGTCAGTTCGTCAAATTTCTGCCCTGCTAGAGCTGCCCCGGTCAACTGTAAGTGCTGTTATTGTGAAGTGGAAATGACTCGGAACAACAACGGCTCACACGCGAAATGGTAGGCCACACAAGCTCACAGAACAGGACCGCCGAGTGCACAAGAACTGTTCATCGGCACGGGAGCTTCAATAAATTGGTTTCCATGGCCGAGCAGCCGCACACAAGCCTAAGATTACCATGCGCAATGCTAAGCGTCTGCTGGAGTGGTGTAAAGCTCGACGCCATTGGACTCTGGGGCAGTGGAAACGCGTTCTCTGGAGTAATGAATCACGGTGGAGGAGGAATAATGGGCTGGGGCTGTTTTTCATGGTTTGGGCTAGGCCCCTTAGTTTCAGTGAAGGGAAATCTTAACGCTACAGCATACAATGACAGTCTAGACGATTCTGTGCGTCCAACTTTGTGGCAACAGTTTGGGGAAGGCCCTCTCCTGTTTCAGCATGACAATGCCCCCGTGTACAAAGCGAGGTCCATAAAGAAATGGTTTGTCGATCGGTGTGGAAGAACTTGACTGGCCTGCACAGAGCCCTGACCTCAACCAAATCAAACACATTTACATTAAATTTTAGTCATTTAGCAGATGCTCTTATCCAGAGCAATTTACAGGAGCAATTAGGGTTAAGTGCCTTGCTCAAGGGCACATCGACAGATTTTCCACCTAGTCGGCTCAGGGATTAGAACCAGCGACCTTTCGGTTACTGGCACAACGCTCTTAACCACTAAGCTACCTGCCGCCCCACCTTTGGGATGAATTGGAATGCCAACTGCGAGCCAGGCCTAATCGCCCAACATCAGTGCCCGACCTCACTAATGCTCTTGTGGCTGAATGGAAGCAAGTCCCTGCAGCAACGTTCTAACATCTAGTGGAAAGCCTTCCCAGAAGAGTGGAGGCTGTTATAGCAGCAAAGGGGGGACCAACTCCATATTAATGGCCATGATTTTGGAATGAGATGTTCGACAAGCAGTTGTCCACATACTTTAGGTCATGTAGTGTATTTGGCTGTTTTCGCAGCATAATATTTAGAAATAGTCCTTTTCGGAGTTAGAAGAAATGAGTGCTAAATGCTAACTCCCCATTCATATAAGCTTGTAACATACTGTAGCTAGCCATATACAGTGCATTCGGAAAGTATTTAGACCCCTTGACTTTTTACACATTTCGTTACAGGTTAATTCTAAAATTGATTAAATTGTTTTTTCCCCCTCATCAATCTACACACAATACCTCATAATGACAAAGCAAAAAAGTTTTTTTGAAATGTTTGCAAATGTATTAAAAATAAGAAACGGAAATCACATTTCCATGAGTATTCAGACCCTTTACTCAGCACTTTGTTGAAGCACCTTTGGCAGCGATTACAGCCTTGAGTCTTCTTGGGTATGATGCTACAAGCTTGGCACACCTGCAGATCCTCTCAAGCTCTGTCAGGTTGGATGGGGAGCGTTGCTGCACAGCTATTTTCAGGTCTCTCCAGAGATGTTCGATCGGGTTCAAGTCCAGGCTCTGGCTAGGCCAATCAAGGATATTCAGAGACTTGTCCCGAAGCCACTCCTGCATTGTCTTGGCTGTGTGCTTCGGGTCGTTGTCCTGTTGGAAGGCGAACCTTCGCCCCAGTCTGAGAACCTGCTCCAGAGCGCTCAGGAGAAGGATCTCTCTGTACTTTACTCCGTTCATCTTTCCCTCGATCCTGACTAGTCTCCAAGTCCCTGCCGCTGAATAACATCCCCACAGCATGATGCTGCCCCACCATGCTTTACCGTAGGGATGGTGCCAGGTTTCCTCAAGACGTGACGCTTGGCATTCAGGCCAAATAGTTCAATCTTGGTTTCATCAGACCAGATAATCTTGTTTCTCATGGTCTGAGAGTCCTTTAAGGTGCCTTTTGGCAAACTCCAAGCGGGCTGTCGTGCCTTTTACTGAGGAGTGGCTTCCGTCTTGCCACTACCATAAAGGCCTGATCGGTGGAGTGCTGCAGAGATGGTTGTCCTTCTGGAAGGTTCTCCCATCTCCACAGAGGAACTCTGGAGCGCTGTCAGAGTGACCATAGGGTACTTGGCCAGCTCTAGGAAGAGTCTTGGTGGTTCAAAACTTCTTCCATTTAAGAATGATGGAGGCCACTGTGTTCTTGGGGACCTTCAATGCTGAAGAAATGTTTTGGTACCCTTCCCCAGATCTGTGCCTCGACACAATCCTGTCTCGGAGCTCTACGGACAGTTCCTTCGACCTCATGGGTTGGTTTTTGCTCTGGCATGCACTGTCAACTGTGGGACCTTATATAGACAGGTGTGTGCCTTTCCAAATCATGTCCAATCAAATGAATTTACCACAGGTGGACTCCAATCAAGTTGTAGAAACATCTCAAGGATGATCAATGGAAACAGGATGCACATGAGCTCAATTCCGAGTCTCATAGAAAAGGGTCTGAATACTTATGTAAATACGTATTTCTGTTTTTGTTTTTATAAATATGTAAAAAATTCAAAAAACCTGTTCAGTTTGTCATTATGGGGTATTGTGTGTAGATTGATGAAGAAAATGTTTTAATTTAATCCATTTTAGAATACGGCTGTAACATAACAAAATGTGGAAAAAGTAAAGGGGTCAGAATACTTTCCGAATGCACTGTAGAAATCGATGGTGTTACATGAAGCCGTTTTTAAGTGTAATGCAGTTGATTGGTGACTATGACATCCATACAAGCATTATACTCCGATTATTACCCCCAAAAGGGTGTGAAATGCACATAAATATAGGCACATTTTGATGGGGGGCAACATGGAGATTCTGAATATTTCCCGCACGGGGGGGGGGGCGTGAGTGTTGTTGCCATGGCATTTCCATTGTTTTGATCGAGTCGATTTGATCTATTTACCCCATCTATACCTAACGTTCTTGAGCCAGCACTGAGGGTTCTATTTAAAAGCAGAGATGTGAGATGTCCATTGAGAGGGTTACTATTACATATGGATATCCAAGTGTGTACAGTGCCTTGCAAAAGTATTCATCCCCCTTGGAGTTTGTCCTATTTTGTTGCATTACAACCTGTAATTTAAATGGATTTATATTTGGATTGAATGTAATGGACATACACAAAATAGTCCAAATTGGTGAAGTGAAATGAAAAAAATAACTTGTTTCAAATAATTCTAAAAAATAAATAACGGAAAAGTGGTGCGTGCATATGTATACACCCCCTTTGCTATGAAGCCCCTAAATAAGATCTGGTGCAACCAATTACCTTCAGAAGTCACATAATTAGTTAAATAAAGTCCACCTGTGTGCAATCTAAGTGTCACATGATCTGTCACATGATCTCAGTATATATACACCTGTTATGAAAGGCCCCAGAGTCTGCAACACCACTAAGCAAGGGGCACCATGAAGACCAAGGAGCTATCCAAACAGGTCAAGGACAAAGTTGTGGAGAAGTACCGGACAGGGTTGGGTTATACAAAAATATCCAAAACTTTGAACACGGAGCACCATTAAATCCATTATTAAAAAATGGAAAGAATATGGCACCACAACAAACCTGCCAAGAGAGGGCCACCCACCAAAACTCACAGACCAGGCAAGGAGGGCATTAATCAGAGAGGCAACAAAGAGACCAAAGATAACCCTGAAGGAGCTGCAAAGCTTCACAGCGGAGATTGGAGTATCTGTCCATATGACCACTTTAAGCCGTACACGCCACATAGCTGGGCTTTACGGAAGAGAGGCCAGAAAAAAGCCATTGATTAAAGAAAAAAATAAGCAAACACGTTTGGTGTTCGCCAAAAGGCATGTGGGAGACTCCCCAAACATATGGAAGAAGGTACTCTGGTCAGATGAGACTAAAAGTTAGCTTTTTGGCCATCAAGGAAAATGCTAGGTCTGGCGCAAACCCAACACCTCTCATCACCCCGAGAACACCATCCCCACAGTGAAGCATGGTGGTGGCAGCATCATGCTGTGGGGATGTTTTTCATCGGCAGGGACTAGGAAACTGGTCAGAATTAAAGGAATGATGGATGGTGCTAAATACAGGGAAATTCTTGAGGGAAACCTGTTTCAGTCTTCCAGAGATTTGAGACTGGGACGGAGGTTCACCTTCCAGCAGGACAATGACCCTAAGCATACTGCTAAAGCAACACTTGAGAGGTTTAAGGGGAAACATTTAAATGTCTTGGAATGGCCTAGTCAAAGCCCAGACCTCAATCCAATTGAGAATCTGTGGTATGACTTAAAGATTGCTGTACACCATCGGAACCCATCCAACTTGAAGGAGCTGGAGCAGTTTTGCCTTGAAGAATGGGCAAAAATCCCAGTGGCTTTTGCATTGAATAGATGCTTTATATTCTCAAACTAACAGCAGTGCCTATATGTACTACTATGGCTGACCCTGTTAAACAACACATTTCACTGCACCTATCCAGTGTTTGACAATAAACAGCTAACATCTATGATGTTCTTCCAAACAGACGTGACATGCTGGAGTCATGCTTCTATGCAAATGTTGTTGATCGGTAGGCTAATATAAGGCCCAAATGGAAGGCAAACCGATCTGTGGCACCTAGACTCCACTGATCAGCCAAAATAAGCTCAGTAACTCAATGCATGCGCGCACTGTCATTTGAATATGCATTTAGCTGTGTTGTGAGTAGGCCTATGACATCTTAATTTACCTAGTTTATCAAGAGATTTACCATTCAAATACAATTATTACCGTTATGTAGTTAGATTGGTTAAAACAAAGTCAAATGTATTATTTGATTTTCAAAAATAAGCTTTAATGCATACATGGCTGTCTCTGAGAAATTGTCATAAACATTTTCTAATTTTAATAATATTGAATTATCGGCCTAAAATATTGGCTCATTTAAACGCCACACCCCTAGAACAAATAGTCCCAAATACAGTGGGGGAAAAAAGTATTTAGTCAGCCACCAATTGTGCAAGTTCTCCTACTTAAAAAGATGAGAGGCCTGTAATTTTCATCATATGTACACGTCAACTATGACAGACAAATTGAGCATTTTTCTTCCAGAAAATCACATTGTAGGATTTTTTATGAATTTATTTGCAAATTATGGTGGAAAATAAGTATTTGGTCACCTACAAACAAGCAAGATTTCTGGCTCTCACAGACCTGTAACTTCTTCTTTAAGAGGCTCCTCTGTCCTCCACTCGTTACCTGTATTAATGGCACCTGTTTGAACTTGTTATCAGTATAAAAGACACCTGTCCACAACCTCAAACAGTCACACTCCAAACTCCACTATGGCCAAGACCAAAGAGCTGTCAAAGGACACCAGAAACAAAATTGTAGACCTGCACCAGGCTGGGAAGACTGAATCTGCAATAGGTAAGCAGCTTGGTTTGAAGAAATCAACTGTGGGAGCAATTATTAGGAAATGGAAGACATACAAGACCACTGATAATCTCCCTCGATCTGGGGCTCCACGCAAAATCTCACCCCGTGGGGTCAAAATGATCACAAGAACGGTGAGCAAAAATCCCAGAACCACACGGGGGGACCTAGTGAATGACCTGCAGAGAGCTGGGACCAAAGTAACAAAGCCTACCATCAGTAACACACTACGCCGCCAGGGACTCAAATCCTGCAGTGCGAGATGTGTCCCCCTGCTTAAGCCAGTACATGTCCAGGCCCGTCTGAAGTTTGCTAGAGTGCATTTGGATGATCCAGAAGAGGATTGGGAGAATGTCATATGGTCAGATGAAACCAAAATATAACTTTTTGGTAAAAACTCAACTCGTCGTGTTTGGAGGACAAAGAATGCTGAGTTGCATCCAAAGAACACCATACCTACTGTGAAGCATGGGGGTGGAAACATCATGCTTTGGGGCTGTTTTTCTGCAAAGGGACCAGGACGACTGGTCTGTGTAAAGGAAAGAATGAATGGGGCCATGTATCGTGAGATTTTGAGTGAAAACCTCCTTCCATCAGCAAGGGCATTGAAGATGAAACGTGGCTGGGTCTTTCAGCATGACAATGATCCCAAACACACCGCCCGGGCAACGAAGGAGTGGCTTCGTAAGAAGCATTTCAAGGTCCTGGAGTGGCCTAGCCAGTCTCCAGATCTCAACCCCATAGAAAATCTTTGGAGGGAGTTGAAAGTCTGTGTTGCCCAGCGACAGCCCCAAAACATCACTGCTCTAGAGGAGATCTGCATGGAGGAATGGGCCAAAATACCAGCAACAGTGTGTGAAAACCTTGTGAAGACTTACAGAAAACGTTTGACCTGTGTCATTGCCAACAAAGGGTATATAACAAAGTATTGAGAAACTTTTGTTATTGACCAAATACTTATTTTCCACCATAATTTGCAAATAAATTCATTAAAAATCCTACAATGTGATTTTCTGGATTTTTTTTCTTCTCATTTTGTCTGTCATAGTTGACGTGTACCTATGATGAAAATTACAGGCCTCTCTCATCTTTTTAAGTGGGAGAACTTGCACAATTGGTGGCTGACTAAATACTTTTTTTCCCACTGTAGGTGACTAAAACTATTTGAATACAGATCTGAGAAAGCAATAGTAAAAAATTATTTTTGAATACAGATCTCAGGAAGTGGAACAGAACACAATCTCCTATGGATCCTGGATAGCAAGGACCATTCACTGAGGCAACACTTGGGGCTAGAGGCAGTGCTGTGCCAGCTGTGAATTTTGTGATTTGAAGTTTTTCCTTTCAAGTGACAACTACCAGAATTCAGTGGCTACTGCCCTACAATCGATGAAAACACAGAACACATTTTCAATGTATTGGTATTTGGCTATGTCGTTGTTTTCCAGCTGGCTAGCATGATGCAGCTCAGTTTTCAAAGCGTAGGCAGTTTTTTGCTGGAATCTGCAGTTTATCTTCCTTTTACTAGAGCAGCGTTTCCCAAACTCGGTCATCAGGACCCCAACGGGTGCACGTTTTGTTTTTTGCCCTAACACTACACAGCTGATTCAAATTATCAAAGCTTGATGATTAGTTGATTATTTGAATCAGCTGTGTAATGATAGGGCAAAAACCAAAATGTGCACCCCTTGGGATCCCGTGGACCAAGTTTGGGAAACCCTGCATTAGTGTAACAGTTTTTCCATAAAAAAAAAAAAAAAGAAGGTATTTCTGGTGCTCCTAATTTTTATGTGGTGCTTACATTAATGTTCTTTCCTAAAATTTAAGAAATCAGCTTTGAGTATATTTTGTTAGGGCTGATTTAAGCACAATCCATACCCAAAATGTTTTTCATTCCAGCTATAATAATAAAAATATTGGCAGATATATTGGTTATCGATTAACATTTCCACTCTAAAATCGGTATTGGATCCAAAAATCCCATATCGGTCGAGCTCTACAAACTAACATGATTTTCTACCCACCTTGGCTGTAGTTGATTCAAGCCGGCAGTTTTGGGATATTGAGTGAACTTCCAACATTTTAATAACCATATTTTGTTACTGTTAGCATTCTCAGTAGCACTTAACATTAAATTGTTATTGTGCCTGTGTAATACAACTGTAATTACTTTTGGAGCAACATTTTATTAGCATGTTTTTACATAATACTTTGGTAATTGCATTTTAATTGCCCAATGAGCTGAGTTTTTTAAAACTCCTGTACATGAGGAATAGTCACTGTTCCTTATTCCACTTATGTAATAACTCCATTATTATGCAATTATAAAGCAATTTACAGTCATATGTAACAATGTTGCTATTGTAATAGTTACTACACGTGTAAGAACTTGATGTAAAGTATTACTGTATTACCTCACCACTCATTATGAAAATATATTTGTTAGTAATTCTGAAGCTGCAAAAGTGGTGTACTCTAATGTTGACGTGATTCCATGTCCCTCATGTATTTTAATTATAGGCTATATTAATGATAATGTATTTAGACTAATTCAACTAACTGTTGTAGCATTTGGTTCTTCATCAAATATTTGTCAGCCATCCATTTGTTATTTTAACTGTCATATTTAAATACCTTCAAATATTATTTGGTTTTCTGAGACCTGTATTTGAACATCAAATAAAATAGTTGCCTTTTAGTTAAAACTCTGTAAAAACTATATCCGACTACCTTGAGTATTTGAAAAGTTGGTATTTTCAAGTAAACTACAAAAAAACAACTATTTTCTGCCCAGGTCTGGCTGTGACTGAATATGAACCCCAGACAGAGACAGGTGGTTGGATGTTGGCAACATGCTCTGTGTTATCAAAACAAGCCTCTGTCACTACTGACATCTGTCTCTCCTTTTTGTTGTTTGTATTTTGTATTTTTTTGCAGCTGCACAATACAGCAATCGTGAGTGACCCACTTTTCCTTCTCTCCCTGCTCACGTGATGGAGATGTTTGGGGAAATGAATTTAGATTAGATTAGAGTGGATGGGATGGGAGGCATGTGGTGGTAAAGTGGCTGGTCTGTGTTTGAGAGGCTTAAAATCTTACAACAAAAATAAAATAAATGAATCCCCCCCTCACGGAGCTCAGCTGATAGACTGGCCTGTGTTGACTGAGCCTAGAGTACAGTTTATGGTCACTGTCATGGAAGTGTTACTTCACAGGAACATAATGAGCCCTACTGTCCCATTCCAAGAATTCCTGTTCTGACGTTTTTTGTTTTGGTCCAGTGATATAATGAAGGGTTAGTGCAACCATCTAATGATTCCCCATCACGAGTGGTGGCGCGGTTGTGGAAGGCATTAGTTCCCATCCTGAGCCGCTGGCACACGGCTAATCTAATGTTGTGAGAACAAACTAAGTGGTCGCATGACTCTTCCTAGACCAGTTTAGACCCGAGTGGAACTCTGGTTTGGTAATATAACATATACCCACCTTGCAAGTTATTTGCCGACCTGTGCCTCTGCATGTTTGGTGACACTATTCCCATGTCCAAATGTATCTCAGTAATCGGAAGACTGTTCTGATTAAGAGGTCGTCGTTTGCATTGCCGAGCAGTGCCCAAGAAAATAAGTAAATCAAATTTGTTAGATGCTACTACCACCACCTTCAAAACAAAACCAAACATGTCGATGTTTTCTCACTTTGCGCACACCTGTTGTTTCACACCTGTTTGTCCTAGCTAACCAGCCTCGCAATATGGGCATCGTGCTGCCGCAGACAAGCAGTAGACTGGACGTGTGAGCGCAAACATTGACATCCATGTTTTGATTTAGCATCTTAACAATTATATTAAATGATTTATTGGGCACTGCTCACCGACGCAAACGAGGACCTCTTAATCAGAACGGTCTACCGATTTACGGACAGACACTCTAAACATGGTACAGTCATTTGCCACGTCCTTAACATGAACGCTTCTCCAATGTAATGCTCTAAGACGGAACGTTACTGTTAAAATAACTGTATTTACTTGTATTAACAGTATACGTGACGGCGAGCTCTGTAGGGTTAGCTGCTTCCCTGATTTCATCACCCTATAGCACTTAAGAAGCCCTTTATTTCAGTAGATTTATGAGCTCATTATTAATGAGCTCATACAACAACGTAATTTACATTTGACTGCTAGTATCCTATTAAGCATTTCAGTGTAAGATAACTGTCATCAGTCCATTGTATGGTATAGAATGCATCTTCTGATGTGCTTCCTCTGCTGTTGCAGGCGGTGAACTGCAAAGTGCAGCACAGTATTTCCTACACTCTGTCCAGGAACCAGACAGTAGTGGTAGAATACTGCCATGACAAAGACACAGACATGTTTCAGGTAAGTCCACCCGTTTCAACATCCCAGATGCTCTGTTGGTTTAAGCTTAGCAGATGACCCTGCCATATGTATTTTATTATTAGTCTGTCCTAAAAATCAGTCTAATTTTCTTGAACACTCACCATGAGTTTACAAGGCAATCTGCTTAGTATTAGACATTTGATATTGCATTTCAACAATCAACTGCGGTCTGTCTTATTGAATTTTTAATGAAGTGTCAATCTGCCTCGTATGGATTTGTTTGCTACATGGCAGTGTAGCATTCGGTCTCTGTGCCAGTCTCTCTTAGTCCCTCCCCACTCTCCTTCCCTCAAGTGAAGACATGTTCTGTTATCCCCCTAGCATTAATCTAAATCTACAGCACAGACAGCTCTACTCCAACCAGAGGAAAACAGACTGCTCCAGACACCACCTTCACATTCAACCCTTTGTGTCCATGTGTCTGCAAACGGCACTAAGTAAACGGAAAGCCATAACCAGCTAAGAGCTAATAAAAACTAACTCAAGGCCAAATGCTGAAACAAAATGATTATGAAAATGAGATGGAAAAGCATTGACTTTTCTGTGTGAAGCAGAAATGTATATCATTATTTAATCATTATCTTATTGTATTACAATTCACACATTCTATTGGTTTGTGACCTTGATTGATAAAATAACAAATGGGTGTATTTATACTTTGACAGCGTCCTTATCTAGCCGATGGAGGCCTCTTTTTTTAAAAATTGATACAGTAACAGTTACTGTTCATTCCTGTCTTTGGACCCTTCATTGAGATTCTCTCATACCATTATTTTATGGTTGTGGGAATGTGCAATCATTGGTGGTGGGAGCATCTAAGTCAACTGTTTTATTGACTATTTATGAAGGAAATTGCCCATGAATGCGGGCATTGACCTTAGAGAACGACCCGAGCCGATACATCGGCCGATATTGGCCTATCGGCCCTTCTCTATCGGCTTTGCAGAAAGTCCCTCTACATAGCAAAGCTGTTGCTATGCCAGCTGGATCTCACCGCCTGAGCCACGAGCACTGCACAATGCCGAGGAATGTCTAGCTGGGAAAATCAGCAGCAGCAAGCTAGCTCATTCTCCTACCGAAAGGTGCAGTATTGAGAAATTGAATTAATTGACACAGTGACAAATCTAACACTTAAATATTTGTTTAGTTAATTGACTAATAATAAGCAGAGCTGCCAACTCTCACGCGTTGGCCTTGAGACACACGCATTTGACCCTCTTCTCACGCTCACACGTCACACCTTATATCTCACGCATTGAAAAGTACTGCTTTTATTTTTCTAATTAGTCCAGTGCATTAACTTTTCAACTGTGCTCCAAATCGTTTTGAAATCGGAGCATCTACGCCTGCAATTTAACATCACGGAACTTCTATCATTGTCCTGTCCTGCCACAACACTGTGAACCACAACAAATTGAAGCATATGATTGATAGTTATGTAAGGGATCAAGGGGATTGGATGCGCGTTTTAAAGAAACGCCCCTCAAGATAAGAGTGGAGCTGAATAGAGAGAATGTTCTCCGCTGAGTTTATAAAACTGTAAAAACAGCAGCAGGGCAGTGGTTTTATTTACAATGTTGTCAACAAAATTAGGTTGCACTCCCGTCCCAATTGCACAATGCAGCCTTTTGAACGCATGTACTAAAGTCGATTTAATCCACACTTGCATTAGTCCCATCGTTTGGTGATTGGCGTTTAGGCTGTGACAACGAAAAGGCAGCAGACAGATTTACAGTATGTTTTAGCAGGGAAGTTTTGGTAGGGTGACCTGATGTGAAACTATGAAAAATAATTTTGTCAAACAGATAGTGAACCCAAAAGTGTAAGTTTGATTCTAGAGCTGGGACAACAAATATCCAAATAATTTGGTTAGGGTGTAGGGGCAGATTTGTCATCTTGTCTTCAGATTTTATTATCTATTTACTTGATTTAGTCTGATCAGTGGAACAATTCTCATTCTTAACAAGCGTTAAATATCAAATAAAATAAAATTGTATTGGTCACATGCGCCGAATACAACAGATGCAGAAATTACAGTGAAATGCTTACTTACAGCCCTTAACCAACAGTGCATTTATTTTTAACAAAAAAAGTAAAAATAAAACAACAAAAAAAGTGTTGAGAAAAAAAGAGCAGAAGTAAAATAAAATAACAGTAGGGAGGCTATATATACAGGGGGGTACCGGTGCAGAGTCAATGTGCGGGGGCACCGGCTAGTTGAGATAGTTGAAGTAATATGTACATGTGGGGTAATTAGTGTGCTTGTCAGCAAGAACACTGTTATTCCCCACAATTATTTTATTATTCCACTTTTCAATGTTGCCATTGTAATCACATATTTGAAATCTGATATGCCTACTTGTCTTTGAAAATTATTTAGAGGCTATGTACTTTTGCAGACTTTCATGGACAGTTAAAAAAAAAAAAAATCATACAAATAAGCATTGGATATTAAATGCTCCAGGCCTCAAATATAATTTGACATTTTAGTATTGTGCACATGCTAGGCAGAGATGGTAGGAGGACTCACAACTCAAACACATCATATTTTATCTATGTAGAGCAAGATGATGGCAAGGATCTTCAACTAGTAGGCACAAACCACATGAATATTGATATTCATTCTATTTTTCTTGAAGGACATGCATGCAATAAGCAAGCTAACTAAGCAGATCGCTATGTGACCTGTTAGCAAATATTACGATAACTATCCCAATCACCGAAAATTACTAAAAATACTAGTTTCATAAGCATCCGTGATCACAAATCACGACATTACGTTGGACCCATTTACATTGAATATATATTTTATATTCTCAAACTAACAGCAGTGCCTATATGATGTTCTTCCATACAGGCGTGACATGCTGGAGTGATGCTTCTATGCAAATGTTGTTTATCAGTAGGCTAATATAAGTCCCAAATGGAAGGCAAACAGATTGTTTGTCATCTGTAGCACCATAGACTCCACTGATCAGCCAAAACAAGCTCGATAACTCAATGCATGCACACACTCCTATTGAATATGCATTCACCTCTATTATGAGTAGGCCTATGCCATCTCAATTTACCCAGTTTATCAAGAGATTTACCATTTAAAATACAATTATTACCATTATGTTATGTAGTTAGATTGGTTAAAAAAAAGTCATGTATTGTTTTGATTTAAAAATGGATGCATTAATGCATACATGGCTGTCTCTGGAAAAGTGTCATCAACATTTTCAAATGTAATGATATTGAATATCTGCCTAAAATATCAGCCATCGGCCTCCTTGACCCTCAAAAATCTGCATCGGCCCTAAAAAATCCACATCTATCATTCTCTAATTGACCTAAGAACAAACACTTTCTAAAGCACTTTGTTCAGAGTGGAATGGTGCGTGTGTCTGTTCTAACCAGTGCGGGTTTTGTTGTCCTGCAGATTGGCCGCTCCACAGAAAGCCCCATAGACTTTGTGGTGACGGACACTGTGTCTGGGTGTCAGGAGGGAGAGGAGACGCCCATCACTCAGAGCACCATCTCTCGTTTTGCCTGCCGTGTCGTCTGTGAGCGGGTCCTGCCCTACACCGCCCGCATCTACGCTGCTGGCTTTGACTCCTCCAAGAACATCTTCCTGGGGGTAAGACTGGGCTCAGAGGGCACTCTCCCAGGGATAGGAATGTCTACGGGGTTGACTGGTATTCAGATACAAATGTTTCTTATGTAAAACAACACATTTCACTGCACCTATCCAGTGTGTGACAAAATTGTTATTGTTTTATTTTATGTTTTTGCTACAGTATCGATTTTATGACAATAATGAATGATAGAACACTTCTAGCATGTTTTTACTTTCTCCTCTTGTTTCCTGCTAAGATTCTAAGCCTGGTTCGCATATGCATGCCTAGCATTCCAAGCAGAATAAACTAGATTAGCACACAATGTATACTAGCACTAGTGTTATGTAAGCCTACTACAGTGTGTTAGTGTGTGACTTTCCCCCCGTCTCACCCTCAGGAAAAAGCTGCCAAGTGGAAGAACCCGGATGGTCACATGGACGGGCTTACAACCAATGGCGTGCTGGTGATGCACCCCAGGGGTGGGTTCACGGAGGAGTCCAAGCCGGGTGTATGGAGGGAGATCTCTGTGTGTGGGGATGTTTACACCCTTAGAGAGACCCGTTCTGCTCAGACCCGCGGTAAACTGGTCAGTAGCACTAATAATGCTCCACCATTACCCTCACCAAATCTGTTCTAATGCAATTCCACAAAATAAACATGCGCAGCAACAGATTACAAAAAAATTCAATAGCACATTATCCAAACAGGTTGTCTCATGGAAGCCTTTAGTCTAGCGTATTTACTTCATAAATTCAAAGCAGATACATAATTGCCACTGCTGGACTGCACACGCAACCCGAATGCAGTTAATAAACCCTACTGTAGGCTATAGCCTATAAAATAACGTGTGCCTCTTTGAGTTGTCATTGTGATTCTTCAGATAGTCACATTTTGTAGGCCTATGCACAATTCACTACATAGGCATCTCTATCACACACGAGAGGCATGAGGGAAAATGTTTATTCTGTCCTAGAGCTTAGGCTATTTTGCTATCCAGTTCCAATCCCACTGAAACCCAAAATCCTGACTCTTGTGTCGCATGACAATTCCTAACTTTATTCTGTGATTCATAGGTTGCATCATCAAAGCACGTCTCTCGCCTATGCATGTCAAAATACCACTATAACATCTCCCCCGCTATTCTGCGTTGTCTCGTACTTGCTGCCCATATGAGAGCTTCGGTAGAGAATGTGTGAACAATGGATATATTTTAAATATGGTCCCCGTTAAGATAACTTAATATTTAACTATTTACACTCTTCATCTCCCCGTTATTCCTGAGCTGATCTGCTATCGGTATAATCAACTCGATTTTGACAAATATAGGAGATATTCTGTCATTTGTTGAAGGATGTTATCTAGCAAGTTTAGCAACTTTGGTCATTTTACTTTTGTTTGACTGCCATTACAAAGTTTGTATGATTCGACAAAGCTATACTCCGGGTGTGCTCTGTGCCCCCTGAGAGTGCTCTGTGTGGCGATATAACCTACTGCTGAAATGCGCTGAATTAATTGAAGAACATAATGCTCGGAAATATGAACTGCCTGTTTCGCAATTCACAACAATGTCATTGGCGATCAAAGATAGTTACTCTCTTACTAAATATCAGTTTCATTTGCTCTGAAATCTTTACATAGTGGTGCAGCCAAGCCGACAACGTGGCGAGCGCCCCTCTTATTTAGGGAGAACCCTGCATTGTGACCATATCTTGGTTTTAAATGCTTTATTATTTTTGCAGTATTTCTCGGGATAAATATGAATTATTCCCGCTATTGAAACTTGGTAGATTTTTGGGAAAATATTAATCCCTAGTGTTGAGCCCAGTCTCTCCCCTTGTAACTGAATACACTGAGTGTACAAAACATTAGGAACACCTTCCTAATATTGTTGCACCCCTTTTGCCTTCAGAAAAGCCTCAATTCGTCAGGGCATGGACTCTACAAGGTGTCGAAAGCGTTCCACAGAGATGCTGGCCCATGTTGACTCCAATGCTTCCCACAGTTATCAAGTTTGCTGAATGTCCTTTGGGTGGTAGGACCATTCTTGATACACACAGGAAACTGTTGAGCGTGAAAAACCCAGCAGCGTTGCAGTTCTTGACACACTCAAACCGGTGTGCCTGGAACCTATTACCATACCCCATTCAAAGGCACTTAAATATTTTCTTGCCCATTCACCCTCTTAATGGCATACATACACAATCCATGTCTCAAGGCTTAAAAATCCTTCTATAGCCTGTCTCCTCCCCTTCATCTACACTGATTTGAAGTGGATTTAACAGGTGACATCAAGAAGGGGTCATAGTTTTCACCTGGTCAGTCCGTCATGAAAAGAGCAAGCGTTCTTAATGTCTTGTACACTCAGTTTAGAGCTGTGTGTGTGCTGTGTTGCCCCCTGCAGGTGGAGTGTGAGAGCAACGTGCTGCAGGACGGATCCTTGGTAGACCTGTGTGGAGCCACCCTGCTGTGGCGCACGGCCGACGGCCTCTTTCACACGCCTACCCAGAAGCACCTGGAGGCCCTGCGGCAGGAAATCAACGCAGCACGGCCCCAGTGCCCTGTGGGCCTCAACACCCTGGCCTTCCCCAGTATGCAGCGCAGCCGTGCCCTCTCCTCCCTGGAGGACAAGCAGCCCTGGGTCTACCTGGCCTGTGGCCACGTGCACGGCTACCACAACTGGGGCCATCGCTCGGAGCAGGAGCCCAATGCCCAGCGGGAGTGCCCCATGTGCCGGACCGTTGGCCCCTACGTGCCGCTTTGGCTGGGCTGCGAGCCCGCCTTCTACGTGGACGTGGGCGCCCCCACACACGCCTTTGTGCCGTGCGGACACGTGTGCTCGGAGAAGTCGGCGAAGTACTGGGCCGAGATCCCTCTGCCCCATGGCACCCACGCCTTCCACGCCGCATGCCCATTCTGTGCCACCCAGCTCAGCCTTGCTCAGGGCTATGCCAAGCTCATCTTCCAGGGCCCCATCGACTAAGCTGGGGGATCTTGGGCTGGGGGAAGGGTTGAAGCAGGAGGGCCAACATGCTGTGAAACTGTTCAGACTATTTAGTGCTTTTTTCAGTTTTTAAATCACCGGACTGTAAAGATCACAAAGCTGATGGTGTACTGCAAGTGTGTTCCTAATTTCCGTGGAGATTGGCCTGAAGGCAGTGGTCCATCACACAGTGTTTGGTTTGGGCTTCTGGTCCTGTGGATGGCCACTGTGGCGTGGTGATGTGACTGTGGCATGGTGGAGACGTGGAGCACAGTGGACCTAAGGCACAACCACAGAAACCAACATACTCTTCAGCTGCCAGCCATCAGCTTTCAACTGAGCTAACACTCTGGACTGTGCAAGCTGAAATGGCTGCAGATTTCAAGTAAAAGGGCTACAAAACAGGTAACTGGAGTACGTTTTGTCCCCATGTTATCGATCATAAACTCCAAACGGATTACAAAGAGCAGGTGTAGTTAGGGTCTGTTGGGTGGGGGTTCACGGTCTGATTCCCGGTAGGTCTGAGGTGCATGATTTCCACAGAGCCAAGACAGCTGGACTGTTGGCTGGGAGGAGGACCGAGCCAGCCAGCGAGGTTCATGGGTAACTAGTTAAGTGCTCCCCATTGGCTCCTCAGCCCTGATCTGATCTGCAATGGCATCCAGAACATTTAGCCTTTCCAGAGGTGAGCTGAACTCTGCTCATGAATTCAGGGAACAGATCTTTAAAAGAAAACACGTGTTTTTCTCTCCTCTTGTACAGAGATGTATTCCAGTGCCTGGGGCTCCCATTAAAACCCAGGGAATATTTTTACTAGATGGAAAAAAGCAATTTTGCTGAGGGGTTAAGGGAGGGAGAGCATTTTGCATACAGTAAAGTATAAAGAAATATAACCCACATAGATTATTTTCCACCTTTTTATTCTTTCTTAAGAAGTATTTTACTACACTGAGGCCTGTGTACAGTTTTCTAATGAAAATGTTAATATATTTTTCTCTATTGTAACTATTGTGTGCATGTGGGCTGGATCACGCGGATGTGCTTGAATGTGCCGACACCGGCTCATACTGAGACACCAAAAGGCAACAACAGGCCACTGGCATCAACCTTGTGGGCCATGACAATGAATGTATTCAAATACATATTGTCCTCACCATTGGTGCTTCAGCCTAAATTATGCCATTGCTTTACTGAATGGCTAGGTCTGTTCCTTTTTAAATGTACTGTAAAACCTGGGTGTCTCATATCAGTAAGGCCTTCATCTCCAGTGAAAGTGATGAGCTTTTGGAAGTGTAACTCACTCAGTCACACATCCACTCACACCTGCGAGCTGTCTTTGGTCTTGCCCCACACTCACAGATACTGTGTTCAATGTGCACTTTTGAATTTGTAGCTTTATCTAATGCTGGGTTTTATCCAATAATTTGTACGCTCCCAAACCAGGGCACAGTCACTGCAGCATGGATTATACCAATTACCAAATATAAAAGGAGTTTTCTCCATGATGTAACATCTGCTTCCTGCAACCCAACATGTTACTGTTAACAAATTAAAAACCAAACTGCTATTGTAGAATAAAAAACATGTCTAGTTCTGGATGACAGTCAAAGCTGTTTGGTTAAACTCAATCTCACAAAGATAATAAGTATATTATCATGTGCAATGCCCAATTTATCAAATCAAATTGTGGAGATGGATCAAGTTGGTCAAATACTTATGTGTAGATAAAATCAGACTTTAATGTTGGACAACGAGGTGCAAATAAGTTGAACCTGAATAATTAGAAACAAGTGTGTGTACTCTTAGATGCTGGCTAGTTTGACTGTGCCCATATGTTGAGTGAAGCTCAACACTATATACAAACAACCATCGTAGCTTAATGGTTATGATAGTGAGCATCACGATACTGACATGTTGTTAGCAATGTTCTTACCATAGCTATGTACAAGTTGCATAACGAATGAACAAGTTTGAAGAGATGGTCACAAGCTATTATTTTCAGTTACACTGAGAAGCCAAATAATACAGTCACATGTCTACTATGCACACAGGAACACTACAGAAGTGGTGTGTCCTGTTCTCTTCTTTGTTGGTGGACTGCAGAGGTCACCCTCCAGATGTGAGGTCTGCTCTGTGGAGGGTAAAGACAAGACCTTGGTAGTATGAAGCCAAAAGCAGTAGGACAGATGTGGTGAGACCATAACAGGTGGTTATTCAATGGCTTTGTTTGTAATTTCCAATAAGCAATGAGTAGCAGGGTAAAGGAGGGGAGTCTTACAGTAGCATTCCTCCTACAGTGCCCAGTCAGTGCTGACAGTACGTTGATAGACCATGCTCTGGAACAGCTGTAATGTACCTGCCTGACACAAACATTCTTCCTTGAACATTTGGGAGGGGTCCTGTTGTTTACCCAAGGACCTGTTCAGTGCATTTTGTCTCCTAACGCTGTACACAGGTCATAGCTCGCACTGATGCTCCCAATACCTACTTGCAAAAATAAACAATTTGTTTAAAAACAAGTGTTGCTTGTCTTTGTTTGGTTTCAGTTCTGTGTAGGAACTCGCCACACATTAGTATATCTTTTTTATTCTACTTTTCCCCCATTTTTTTCAAGGGAGAGGCAGCTGTAGTTCCTCACTACGACAAATTATGTGGTAATTGTAAGTTCCTCACTACCACATTTGGGGAATTCGCAGGGGTCAGCATGGCCGGAGTGCAATGGCCGGGCATAACTGGGTGAACCTCATGATTAAGGTGTCTCCCCTGTCAGGTAAGTATACATTAGTATTTCTACAACAATATGAGCGAACTGATAATCATGTGTAAAGGTTATTAGATGTATATTGCCTATATCTATCAAAATCACTTCTACTGTAAAGGGTTAAGCTTACATTAAGGCTCCTAAAGCCTTTTGAACGCTAATACTCAGGAACACGTCTACGTTAGGACAGTCTTTGCGAAGGTAAGCAGATGTATTTTTACAGAATGGTGACCATGTTAAAACACTAGTGGAAGGAGGTTCCAGTTCTGAGTGACAGCAGGCCAAGGTTTATTTTGGACATCAGTAGCCTGAGATGCCCTGGCTGAGAGTCTCTGGCTCCCCCACAGGATAACAGGTATTACTGCACCTCTCTGAGGCTCTCTTTCATCATAGTTGCTGACATGTTGCATCATTCCTCATTACAAACGTTCCCAATCTTAATTCAACAAATGTTGATAGAGTTGGCTCTATCAAAGGCACAATTTTAGACACCATTTTTTAATTTTTTAATTTTATAAATCTGGTAACTTTTTACATGTCACCTAATCAGTGGCAGCCCACTCTACATTTTAGCAAACATAAAGGCCATTCAGCAACATTTTCTGATACTATCCTTGTTTCAACATGCCTCGCTTTTACTGTAAATAATGGGAAATTCTGACCCTTTATCTTTGTTTCCCCTGTTTGTGCAGGTCACCTTACAAACCTCCTGTAAGTCGCTCTGGATAAGAGCGTCTGCTAAATGACTAAAATGTAAATGTAAATGTAAACCAATAGAGGACACTATTTCCTCAACTATGGGCATATTGCTTCAGGGTGCCACGACACATGGCAGCAGGTCGTCACTAGTTACCACAGCCACAAAGTCATAACCCTTGCCTATTTCTACAGTTTATCTAATTAAAATGTGATTTTAATTCAAGCTTAACCTTAACCTTAGGGCTAACCTAACCTTAAATTAAAACCAAAAAGCTCATTTTAGTTTTCATGAAAAGCTAATTTTAGTTTACAATATAGCCAATTTTTGACTTTGTGGTTGTGCTATCTAGTGGAAACCTGGCAGCAGTAGATGACCGATGAAAGGGACGGAATAAACACTTGATAAAAGAAAAATGTATGCACTCACTAACTGTAAGTCGCTCTGGATAAGAGCGTCTGCTAAATTACTAAAATGTAAATGTAATAAAGGCAGACATTTATTACATTATGAATAACATGACACAGAAGGCACATTAAAATCATATATTGATGCCATGCTTTCTCCTAAATTGCCGATATCAATATGTGAGACGTACGAACATTTGATAAAAGAAAAATGTATGCACTCACTAACTATAAGTCGCTCTGGATAAGAGCGTCTGCTAAATGACTAAAATGTAAATGTAATAAAGGCAGACATTTATTACATTATGAATAACATTTATGACACAGAAGGCACATCAAAATCATATTTTGATGCCATGCTTTCTCCTAAATTGCCGATATGGTTGGTTGGTGTATTTATTAAGGATCCCGAAGGCAGCAGCTACTCTTCCTGGGGTCCAGCAACAATGTATAGACATTATGGACAATATGTGGATATAATATTTAGTATATCTGTAGAATATGAAATGAGTAAAACAGTATGTAAACATTATTAAAATGACCATTGTTCCATTTAGCTATACCAGTGAAAATTAGGGACTCATGTCATTCAGTTTTCTTGACTTTGTAGAATAATTACACTACATGGCCAAACGTATGTGCTTGTATGGATGTCAAACCAATACATGTTCATGTCATAGTCACCAATCAACTGCATTACACCTAAAAATGGCTTCAAGTAACACCATCAATTTCTATATGGCTAGCTGCACTACATGACCAAAAGTATGTGAACACCTGCTCATCAAACATCTCATTCCAAGTTGGTCCCCCCTTTACTGCTCTAACAGCCTCCACACTTCTGGGAAGGCTTTCCACTAGATGTTGGAACATTGCTGCAGGGACCTCCTTCCATTCAGCCACAAGCATTAGTGAGGTCGGGCACTGATGTTGGGCGATTAGGCCTGGCACGCAGTCGGCGTTCCAATTCATCCCAAAGGTGTTCGATGGGGTTGAGGTCAGGGCTCTGTGCAGGCCAGTCAAGTTCTTCCACACCAATCTCGACAACCATATCTGTATGGACTGTGCTTTTTGCATGGGGGCATTGTCATGTTGAAACCGTAAAGGGTCTTCCCCAAACTGTTGCCACAAA